GTACCCTAGGAGCCATACTCTCATTCATCCACGTAACCTCGGTGTAGTGTGGGCTATACTATCTAGCAGGCATTCTGGATGTCTGTACTATGCAACCATCTAATGATGCCTTTCTCAGAATGTATCTCCATGAAGGGGCATATTACTGTATATATTTACATTTGGTCATTTGAATATATAAATATGCAAATGTAGATTTGCATGTTTGGGTTAATTAAACTCTAAAATGCTCACTATAGTTAGATAAATAGGAGAGCAAAAACAAGGGAAAACAGTGTTTTACGTGTCTGTGGTGACAGTTTCAGCCGAAAACTGAACTCACCCTTCAGTTCCTGTAGTTGATGGAAAACAAATAAAATATGTAACTTAAAAAATAATGCTTAGAGATATGGAAAGGATTCATCAAGAGAAAAGGGCTACCAGGTTTTTAATGGCTATTTCTGGGAGCTTATAAGTGGAAGGGTACAGAAACCAACCTTTTGATTTGTTTGAATAAGCAAGCCTCGGGCTTATCTGACTCTTTAAGCCATGTGCACAGATCACTTTAATGAAAAGAGAAAATTTTAGGAAGAGTGGAGAATTCTACCCTGACTCCACCCTAGTGATCCAGGTTAATGTAAGTTAGCCTGACACAGTCTCTCAAGGCCTCATTCTCAGTAAGTTCTTGGTGTTGATCTTAAATCCTGCTGCGTCTGGAATATGGTGATAGATGAGCCAGACTCCTCCAGCAAAGTGACCAGCTTTTTTAAAAAAGGAGAATCTACTGCAGGTGGAGCGAGCAGAGCAACAGAAAGGAAGCAAAAGTTACCCAACAGGCTTCACAGAAAGGCTGATGTCAACAGCCATTGTGTGTGTGGGGGGATGTGCGTTGCAAGTGTCAGTTTAGTGGCAGATGTTCCAAACAGTTGCCAAAGTTACGTGTGCAATTTCTCCTGAATTTTTCTGGCAGGACTTTTGTGCTCCCTCCTTATCTGTTATCAGTGTTTGATGTTTGGACAGAACCTAAGCACCAGGACAGTCACCTGGCTCAGCATTGCCCTAGTGTGAAGGAACATGAAGAAAATGTCGACTCAGAACAGAGGGCCAGCACCTTGTGACTCACTGCAATCATGACTCGTAAGCTCTGTCTCAAGTAGGACAATTATAGGGATCCCTATAGCCCCTAGGGTTTGCTCTCACAACAGAAAATAATGCTTTCTTCCCATTACTTTCTGTTTCTGCCAGCAAGTGTCAAAGTAAAGAGACTTATCTATGGTAGGGGGATTCAAGCAGTTTTTTCCCTAGGTGTCTGTCTTTCTAGACGTGAATATAGCTAGCTCTTACAGCACAATCTGGATCCTGGCATCCTTGGGAGGGAGAAGTAGAAAGAGAGAAGATTTAAGGCTTGTCTGGGCAGGGGATATGTCTTAGTGGCAGAATGCACTCCTAGCATTCATGCTCCAATCTCTATGCTCAATCCCCAGTACTGATAAACCAACAGTCAATATATATCACATAAGTGACTAAAATATTTACAAAGAACCTTGAGTTAATCGAGAAAGATAAGCTTTAAACCATGATCTAAGAGGAGAAATTTAAAGGAAAAGACTTTCACAAAATCCGTTAACATGATTTATAAATGAATTCCATTTCTATTTTCCAGAAAGGGGGACTGAATCCTCTAGCTGTGTCTCTGGGACTAGAGAAAAGAGAAAAAAAAAAAAGATAATGGCTATAGAAAATAAAACAGTTCTTAGTAAGTCGAATTAGGCTGGGTATAATAAGTAAGTATAATAAGGCTGTAAAATTTCCTGTGCTTGAGATGGAGAAGGGAATTTAGGGAGAGTAATAGTTTATGCTCTACTCACTCAACAGGAATGCCTGGGTGTGTGCAGCCTTGATATTTCTTTAATCAGCATTCTAAACATTCTCATAATGGTGTAGTTCAGAAAATGGGAACAAAGATGAAAATTAAGAGGTGACTGGAAGAGAGGATCATAAGCTAAAGAATTCACATGCACTGACCTTTAAAAGGGCATCAGAAGTTTGAGGTAAGGTATTGGAACTCCATGATGTACATGTAACAAGGATTTGAGTTCATGTGTGTAAAGAAAGGGTGATAAGGCAGGAGGCAGAAGTCTAGAACATCAAATGGAACCAGCTCTTAACCATCAAGGAAGTTGGAAGTGACTGTTATCTCTTAGCCTTGAACTTCCCTCTTTGCTTTGCTTTACAGATGACATCACCATCTCATTTCTCAGATAGTACAGGGGAAAGAGAGGTGCCCTGCCAAAGCATAGGCTATCCCTCAATACATGCCTGCAAGAATGCGCAGGTGTTTGGTGTTGGACAGTGCGGCTCAAAAGGGATTCTATTTAATTTACGATTAAGAGGCCATGTATGTGGTTTAAGTGGCAGAAAAAAAAGACTGAGCTGTAAATAAATTCTGAAAAGTGTTTGAAGGTCAAACCTACAAATCAGAAAGTAGGAAACCAGAGAGCGTGAGGAAACATTGCATTCCTCTTGTGCCAAGGATGGACTCAACCCAGAACACACCCAGTTAAGTAGGGTCATGGTGTGAGAATGAGGATAATTACATATACGGTGACCTACAAAGTTTCCAATCGGGGAAGGTCTTGAGGGAGGATGGAGAGTAAGATCCTAGGAACTGTAGACAACTGTGTCTTCTGCTGACATAGGACCCATAATTAACTGAATATTTGGGATAATCACTGTTTCTCTTGCCAACCCACAGGTTTTCTGTCCACATGGGACTTCTAGAAGCAAGACATGTATGAACTGAGAATTAAATGATTATATTGACTTTGGGTCCAGCAGAAGCACATTGGATTCCTTATAGTACTGGCTCATTTTACTGAATAATGTAGAAGTTAATAGCATGTCTTTCAAGGGAGCTGTCATGATTTGAATATGCTTGGCCCAGGGAGTGTTACTATTTGGAAGTATGGCTTTGTTGGAGTAGGTGTGGCTTTGTTGGAATAGGTCTGTCACTGTGGGAGTGGGCTTTAAGACCCTCATCCTAGCTGCCTGTAAGTCAGTCTCCTCATAGCAGCCTTCAGATGAAGACATAGAACTCTCAGCTCCTTCTGCACCATGCCTGCCTGGATGCTGCCTGGATGCTGTTCCTGCCTTGATGATTATGGACTGAACCTCTGAACCTGTAAGCTAGCGCCAGTTAAATGTTCTTATAAGAGTTGCCTTGGTCATGGTATCTGTTCACAGCAGTAAAATTCTAACTAAGACAGGGGCTTTGGCAGGCTTAAGTAAATGACTATGCATAAAAGCTTTGGAAGGTGGGTGGTCCAAGCAAGTCTTCTCTGTGCTTTAGGTATTAATATTGCATGAGAGGCTATTGTTACTGTTCCCTACTTGATAATTCTAGAGAATGGAAAGAAGAAGGAGAAAGACACTAAAAACCAGAGGGTAAGAAAGGAATAGATTTAAAATAATAAAAAGAACAAAAGTAACCAGAAAGAAACATCTCAAAATGCAGAAGCTTCAGTACTGATTTGAGATACCAGGTTCAAACACCAGCTTAGGAAACTCCGCTGTGATGGGTGTGAGTCAGGTCCAAATTCAGAGCTGGATCAAGGTCTAAAAGTCCATCTTCTTACACCCCAAATTGAGACAGAATCTCACTATAAAGTTCTTGCTGGTTGGTCAGAAACTTTCCGTGGCTGACCCCCAACTCTTAGAGATTCATCTGTCTTTGTCTTCTGAGTGCTGAAAAGTGGCACTTTAGAAGTAATCTGGAGGACTCCCCAGGATTATAATTTGTGTCAAGTGTCCTACTCCCTGGCAAGCCCCAACCAAGGCATCACTTTTTGCTGAAATTTCTCACATGCAGCGAAAAGACATCCCAAGGCGCATACTAGAAGTTAGAAAAACTGTTTGGGTCCCAGATGTTCTGTCACATGCTCGCACCTGGCTCAGGACTGGATTCTTTGTAGCCAATGTGCAAAGCAAGTCCTCATTCCTTATTCTGCTGCAGGCTGAACCTCTCTCCTGGATCCAGCCCTCTAAGGAAAGACCCTAAGAAAGATCAGAGAAACCATGGGTTCCCTCGAGGAAAAGTTTTCCAGAAGCAGCTGTGAAGCTTGTAGTTAATAGATACAACAGATGAAGAAGTTTTAAAGTATTGACAAAGAACCACAATAAATATTTTACATTTGTGACCCAACACACACACACACACACACACACACACACACACACACACACAAGCGTCGTGACCAGGCTTGTGCAAAAAAAAGTCAAAGGTCTTGAGAATTAAGGTTGATTTTGTGAATTTTAACTTACTTGGCTCTCAACCTTTGTTGATTTTATAAACTCTAGTTTTTCTGACAGTTTGAGAAATTGTAGAATTTCAACTTCCCTATCATCCCTGAGATAAAGTATTCTTTCTCTCCTGGAAAGGTGGAGGAATTTTGGGAAAATGAAAGGAAATACAGACACCCCCTTCCCGAGTATTTTCAAAAGGAAAGAAATTGGTGTTTGAGGAGCCTCAAGAATGTGAGAAGGAAAAATAACATGGCTATGACCCCTAGACACATATACAATAGTTTAAATGGTTGGGGTGTAATTTTAGGACACCAAAATGGTTGTGTGTATCCCTGGGTTTGATTTGTGTCTTTGTTTATCAGCTTGTTGGTTTGTTTGTGTTTTCAAAAATAAGGTCTGGCTCACTATGTAGCCCAGGCTGGCCTAGAATAAAGCACTCTTTAGTATTAAGGAAATGTGATCTTCTTCTATAGTCTAAAATACCCTTTTGTTGTAGTTGTTTAATTGGAGTAAAATGACTCTACTGTTATTATCAGTTTGGCTTGATAATTACGAATTATTATTGATTAGCATTATTGCTGAATCCTCACTGACCCCATGCCAAGCAGTTGTCTCTCTGCCCCTACCTTCCAGGAAGGGCAAACAAAGTACAAGGTCAGTGCCTCAGATTAATTTGCCACTGCAGGTGCTCCCTACAGACACTCCTGCTGGACCGAGGACCCGCCATGTCTCTGCTGGCTACTGTACTGCTGCTCTGGGGTGAGGTGTCCTGGGTCCTAGAACCTCTGGGGCAGGTGTGGTATGAATGGAGACTCACACACTCTGTCTCTACAGGTTTCACTCTGGACCCAGCGACTGATGCAGCCCCCTGTACATTCATGGATGCCATGGAAAACAGTGAGCATGAGTTATGGGGATCCTCTTTCCTAACAGCAGCAAGCTAGCCCTGGCTTCTTTGCCTTCCAGATATGACCAGTAAACCTATCCTGTGGGCAGACTTTTAGTCCTGCTAGAACCCTTGGCAAGTCTAACACTGACTTGTAAGGTCCATGAGGCTACCAAAGACTTCCAGCTGCTCATAATGTGATGTTCCAGGAACTTGCTCATGTTGCTGTACCTTCTATGTTATACCAGTTCCAACTGGGAGCAATTACAAGTGACAATAGGGGCCTGTACCACTGCCAAATCAGGCTTGGACTACTCTGGGAGATGGACAGAGATGAGCAATCTTGTGGAGGTGACAGGGACAGGAAAGCAGGTCAGGAGGCAGTGGAGGTAAGAAGATAGTGGAGCCCCATCCATGCCGCCTGGTATCTCTTAGCCTCAGTTTGCATATATGTCAAGTAGGAGCCTTTATGCTGTGTCCAGATGCCTATGGATAAGTCCTATAGAGTGATGGAGACAGCCAGTACCCTTTCTCTTGCTCTTGTCCCCACCCCTACCTTTGTTTCCCTTATGTTTTCTGAATCCAGAATCCAGACTCTCATCTTCTCCAGAGGGAGATTGAAGCACTCACCAATCCTGCTCTCCCTCATCCACACAGGTCCCTTGCCCAGGCCCTGGCTTTCCGCTGATCCAGTGCCCTGGATCACACCTGGCTTGAGCACATTCCTTCTGTGCCAGGGGAGAGTTCCAGGCGTAGTATTCCTGCTGAGGCGGGAAGGAGATGAAGGTTTCCTGGAGGTAGCTGAAACAGATGGCTTTCTGGAGGGAGCTGGACCCGATGGTGCCCTGGATGTAACTCAAGCAGGATTCAAGGAACACGCCATTTTTCTAGTCCACCAGCCAGGCAACTACAGCTGCAGCTATCAAACTCATGGAGAATGTGCCCCCTCTAAGCCCAGTGGTATTGTGACCATCGAGGAGTATGGTGAGTGTTGAACCCCAACAATGAAAAGCTCTACATGAAACTTGATGCATAGTGTCCAAAAATGAGTCAGTTGCTCCACAGCTGTCACTGGAGGTTTGGGGCCAGACAGAGGACAGTTCATAGTGGTACCCTACAAAGGAGGGTCTCCTGGACTCCTCACTCAGGGATCTTCTCTGCTTTGCAGCCACACCACCACCACCCATGCTGACTTCTTCAGAAAGTTCCACAGTGGAGCCACCCCAGATGGCCCGTATGATCCTTCTCTGTGTGGCTCCTCTGAATGACGTTGAATTCCAACTGAGGCAGGGAAGACGTGAGATGAAGGTCCCTATGGTCAGCACCAGCCCAGAGGAAGTCAACTTCTATCTGAAATTGTCAGACATGGGTGACCAGAGCCCTTTCACCTGCCGCTACCGTCTAAGCAAAATGACAGCTTGGTCTGAAGATAGTGAGCCCTTGGAGCTAATGTGGAGTGATGGTAAGCTCACAGTAGGGCTGCAGACCAGGGTAGGCTAGAGAGGCATAGATGGTGGTCAGAAAAGAGCAAGATTGGGGAACCCAAAGCAGAATCTCCAAACCTGAACAAATTATCCAGTTAAACTCAGTTTCCCAAGCTTCAAATAGGACAATTAATACAATAAACTTGAGACTGCAAAGAATTGAATCACCTCAAGCAAAGAATTGGATCACCTCAAGCAAGTCAGGCACAGACCTTAATGGAATACACAATTTTGTGTATCAAGCAAGAGTAATGTGGACTTGCTGGCTGCCTAGAGTTTGCCAAGGCTAGGAGGCTGAGGCACAGTGTTAAGTATGGTGGTGATGGTGGTACTACCTGATCTTCAGAAGCAGATGGGGGGGGGGGACGGAGGGAGAGAGGGAAAGAGGGAGAGAGGGAGGGGGAGAGGGAGATGGAAACAGGGAGAGAGAAACACAGAGGGAGCTAGGAGGTCATATTAGACATAAAACTTAGTCAAAGCACAGGCTGAACCACTCATGGGTATCGTGCCATGCTTTCAGACTGGGTCAATGTGTCTGATCCTCCACAGAAACACTACCAGCACCAGTGCTCACTGCAGAGCCTTCGAAAAAGAGCTTTGAGGCCGGTTCAACAGTGCAGTTCCGATGTACCGCACCCAGTGCTGGTCTACGCTTTGGGCTGCATATCGAAGACTTGGATGAGCGCAGCCTGATCCAGATACTGGAGTCTTCTGGTAATGAAACTGTCTTCCAACTGAAAAATCTCTCAACCATAGACTCTGCCAGCTACAGCTGCATCTACACTAAACTGGCACCGCCCTACTCAGGATCAGCTCCCAGCGATCTTGTGCCTCTGTTTGTGAATGGTGAGCTGAGCATAGCCACATGGATAGAAGTGGGGGAGGGGGGAAGGGGCAGCAGGGGGATGCTAGATTAGGAGGCAGAGGTTCTGTGCCTTGATCCTGTGATGGGCCATTCTTTCTGGTTTGTGCCTTTATGAGGTAGGTATTGGACTTTGTGGTCCATGAAAAATCCTCCTCCAGGCAAGGAGTGGGACTCTGGTGTTTCCCAAAAACACGGTTTTACTGCCAGGTGTCAGGTAAAACCACATTCAGGAGCATTAGGATTGTAGTTTTTAGTGTTCAGGTCCACTCTTCTGTGAAGCATGTGTGTCAGCACCACTTCTATCAATGACTGCCTAGTCTGGCCTGGGACTGTCTCCACAGGCTTGAGCTAATTTGTAACTTTATAGAACCCTTGAGTTCCTGAGGTCTATTTGTTCCTCTGATTTCCTCATCAAGGTCTCCCTGAGTCAGAAGTCATCCAGGCAGATACCATTCAGAGCCTCCAGCCAGGGTTAATTTTGAACTTAGACCTTTGAACTGTGCCTCTGCCAGAAGCAGTTTCCCAAAAGGTCTCTTCACCACTTTGGGGAGCCAGGGAAGCCCTGGAACAGGTCAAAGCCTGGGAGATTCATAGCCTTGTGATGCTGGGGAGTTGCACACTTAGAGGAGATATAAACATCATTAAATGGATACCCAAGGAACCAGGCAACAGGAAGATTGGTGCCCGGTGTGCAGTGCAAAAGGAGCCAGAGTAAACTCACCATAGGGCCCCACAGGAAATGTCCCAAACTGAATACTATCCCTTACACACCTCCAGGGCCACCACCACCACCAAAGCTCCAGGCTCTGTGGACAGGTATAGTGCCGGCTGGTTATGATGTTGTTGTACGCTGTCACAGTGATGTGCCCGGGGTCACCATGGAGCTGCTGCGTGATGGCAAACTTGTGCCCTACAGGATGCTCCGAGTACTGAGCACCCACAGTGACCTGGGGCTGCATTTTGTGGGTCCCCAACATACGGGAAACTATACCTGCCGTTATACTTCCTGGTGGCCTGAGCCCATTCACTCAGAGCCCAGCAACCCCGTGGAGCTCCTAGTGCAAGGTATGGCTTCCAGAGCTATGGTTGAGTTTTGCCTCTCGATCTTTGCTGGGCTATGAATTCGGTTAATTGTGTTATCTAACCTGGTATGCAAGGGTCCTGTGGAATTTTGCTGATTCAAGTCACCTACTTCTTTGTCTAGAAAATTGATGTGGCTGCAGACACAGGACCAAATGTTGTTCCTTGGAAAGAGCGGAAGACAGATGGACAGAACTCCTATTCTTTCTGCTGCAAGATGTATTTCCCTCAAACTCCCTCTACTTAATAAAGGCCAAACAAAAGTTTGTTAAAGCATGTCTTCCATTTGTGGGTCCGAGGAGGCTGCAGGTGGGAGAGGATGTGCTTTCAGGACTGGGATCTTATGTCTTTAAAGAGAATCCATTCAGGAATGGATTCTGAGGACAGGAGGGTGAAGGTCTGGCCTTTTCCCCACATCTCCCAAGATCCCCTTGTCTTGACCTCCTGTGTCTGGTTGTCTCATAGCTCCCAAACAATTCTTTCCCTTCCAGCAGGTGTGGACACGCAGCCTGAAGCCCTAACCAAGCCTATCTTAGCGTGGAAGGGTCTGTCCCTACCCTGCCAGTAGGTTAGAAAATAACACATTAAGTGTTCGGGCTGTGTTTTTATTTTTTAAAATTTTGCTCTGATGGATGGCATCAGGGTGTCTCCAAATCACTGCGTTTTCTGAAATGACTCAACTAGAAAAACAAAACAAAACAGAAAAACATCTTCAAAGCTCAACCAATCTTCTCTTCCCTTCAGGCCTCAGTGGAGCCTGACACTGAGGCCTGAAGGGTTGATCCCTGAGGCAGAACCAGGACCCTCAGCTCAAAACCACACTTCCTCCCTGACATATACCTCACCCATCCCCCGATGCTTCTGTTCCCCACAGTAAACTCCATGGAATACTCCGTGTCTCCCTGTGACCACTGCTCCTTCAGTGCCTTTGTTCAGAGGGCCCTTCTTGCTCCTTTCACCTCTTACTTGGATGTTTCTCCATTCAAGTTGAATGAATACTGACTAATGCTTCAAACCTGAAGGTTCATTTCATTAATTTGTTTTTTTTCCCCAACAAATTCTAATTGGTAGTTCAGAATGATTGAGAGGTCGATTTGGTTTGTAGCATTCTCAAAGATGGTCCCTGTTCTTAAAGAATATACAATCTAGGACAGGGAAAATATGTAGTAAAAAAGCTCTAACCCCATAAACATCACAACCGCAACTGATACCTCGACTCTACCATAAAACAAATAGATAAGAAAGATGCAATATATAAGTGGCATGCATCTGTAATCTCACTCTTCTTCTGTGAGATGGAAAAGAGAAAGGAGACTAGAACACCACCTAACTTATAGGACAGAGTGACCGGAAGGAAGAGACATCCTGCCTCAACATTCTAGGACATGAAAACACACTCTCAGAAGTCAATTTCTGATCTACGTGGACACAATCTTGCACATACCCACCCTCACATATACACATCCACCAATGAAGGAATACGTTTAGTTTAGTTAAGTGTAGTAGACTGCAGAGTAAAAAAAGTGTACCCATAGAGTAAGATGCAGGTTAATAATTCTAAAGAGCTCACAGGGCTTGTACATAAACCTCTGTCTCGAGTACCTTAAAAACTTCACAATAGGTCACAAAAGGGTTTTAGGCATTGTTGACTGCTGACATAGCCGTAGATGTGAAGGAGAACACAGGAATTCTAGAAGATAGCACCCATTTCACCTAATATCATTATTCCCAATCTAGAGATGAGTAAACACTAAACACATCTCCCAAAATGCAGAGTTAACAAACAGCAGAGCTGTTTTTGATCCCAATACATCATCTCAAGTCATGTCTCTCAATCATTAACTCAGCCTATCTCTAATTTGTCCTGTGAACCCAGCCACAAAGGATCTCAGGGATGACTTTTTGTTTGTGTTTTAGGACAGGATCTCACTATGTATCTCCAGCTAGCTTTGAACACCTGACTGCCTGAGTCCTCCTGCCTCAGTATCCAAATCACTGGGATTATAGTTATGTGCCACTGTACCCAGTGCTACTCTGAAGATGTAAAAACCAGAAGAAACAGAGCAGGACAGCTATGGAATGTTCTGCACAGGGCCAAACCTCAAGCACAGAGGTTTACAGAGGAAGCAAGTCTTAGTGTGAGGTTGGGAAAACACACCAATGGAATAGTCTTACCATAAAGCAGGTCTGCCATGGTCTCCATAAAGAGCATTGGTGTGTATGTGATAAACACCCATGATTTGAATGTGGAACAAACTTGAGATGATCTCTGAATCTTTTGCTTGGTGTCCTTTGACTACATAATTCATAGGTCTTTCATTTTCTTCTGTACAATATGGACAACGTTATCTTCTTTATAGGGCTGTGATCAGGATGAAATTATTTAACAATCAGTGGAAGAGAACATAACCTGTTTCCTGGGACATCACTTAAGCTGAATTCTCATGAACTTCTTCCATGTCTTACATAGATTTCCTGCACTAACCAGATCTTGTTATAGGCAGAATACAAGGACTAGGGTTCATCCTTAGAAGCCACCAAGAAAACAAGGAACCACCCATTCCCTGAAAAAAAATAGCTAATTGTATCATTAATAACATTTAGCATAGTCCCAGTGCTTGCTCAAGTTAATTCTGTTCCAAATCATAGAAAACAAATGACTGAATGTTTCAGAGAACAGCTCTATTTCTGAGCTAGGGATGAAGAGAATCTTGTCTTCCACAACATCTGATGAAGAGAAAGCTTCATTACTGCTTTCTAGAGCCAAGTTACCCTGGATGATTAGAGGCCAATAAGCTCTAGTAAGGATTTAACCCTTCACCAAATCTGTCTTTCCATATAAGTACAGTTACCCAAGAGCATAACAACTCAACAAACACCACGCTGTAATTTTCATTCTAACAAGTGCCCCAAGTGATAGGACCAGGAAGTCTCGGGGTTTGCTAAGCTAGTGTGATGATGGGAATCGGTTCTGTCTCTTTCCCTGGAACTTAGAACCAAGCCTTTCTGCCAAGACATAATGTGACACTCAGCTCCTCAATTCTGCAGCTTTTTTACTCAGTGTGTTTTGTCAAGTAAAGTCTAGGAATGCTAATAAAACACACAATTTCTTAGTCTATTATAGTAGGGCATTGTCAACTATGAAAGTCAGATCAGAAGAGAAGTCACATAATAAAGGGAAATACTCAGAGCACAAAAAAAATGCCAATACATGAATATAGTTTCTGTAAAACCCATGCTGAATTGTTTGGAACAATGTTGAGATGTAACAACATTGGAGAAATGGCTGGCAGAATAAAACTCCATCCTTTGGGCATGACATGACCACTACTGCCTGAAATCCGTGCTGAGCTTGAAATCTATCAGCAAGACACTCAAAATAGCACAGGATCAGTCCTATTAACATTCTGTTGTAGGACAGGAGTCATCAGCTCCCCATCAGAGAGTCCAGCTACCATCCTTCTGTTCCCACTGCTTGGACAGTGCTAGAGTTAGAGAAAATAGGAGGTTGATGGAGCTGTGACTCAAGTGGTGTGATTTCACATGTTGTCATCATGTGAAGCTTTTCGTTGACACAACACTAACTGAGTCACACATGGGCCTTGAAGAACCCCTCACCCACGCTCCTTCCAATAAGCCCCCACACACATGGGTTAAGAAACTAGACTTAGAGGGAGCGATATCTGAGGTCAGCTGGTGTCCAATCTGAAGCAAATGAGAATTTCCAGGGAAGTTCACACAATTTTGTCCAAGTACAGAAGAGATGGCCAGCTTCTTTACAACCAAGGAAAGCAAAACACAGGTAGAACCTGACCATAGTTCCCTGAGAAGCTAGAAGTTTCAATCTTCTTTATGATGAAAGGCAACTGAACTACTTATTCATAGGTAGTATTTAATCATAAGTACAGAATTCCAAGAATATTCTACTTGATGGGAGTCAATAGATAACATGATACTCTCCATCCTTTCTCTGGTGGTGTAATTATAAATAATACTGGAACTATCCAATCGCCCATGCCTAAACTTTGGAATCATCTCTGGATTTTCTTCTTTCATCAGTTCTATAAATCAGTTGCTCTAGATAATTCCATCTAAAGGACATCCACATCTCTATTGCTATTGGAGAGATAGACCATTCACTCCCTAGGAGCACCCTGCCACTCAGATAGTCATGCTTTTACTCTCCCATGATCCTCACTGAATTTTCTCAAACACAAATCTAACTCTGTTCCCATCCTGTTACTCACTCTTTCCTGATTCCTGGGAATCATTAGAGTAATGATAGCTAACATCAACTGCTTACTATGTGTCAGCGATTAATGCCTTTATTAACTTGATCCATTAGCTCATCCGGTAAGTTTCATAACTGGTCTCACTTATGCTGGTCACTATCTGTTAACTGACAGGTTGACACCTGCCCACCAACGTTTTCCTTTATTCCATGAAAGTACATAGAATCTTTTGAGCTGTGTGTCGGAGAATTCTGTCTCAGCTGCCATCTCTGGGGCTTTGCCTACAGGAGAAGTACTGTGAACATACCAGAAGTCCTAGGAAGGGAGAAGCAGCAGCAGCAGCAGCAGCAGAAACAAGCAGCAGAAGCAGCACCCCCTGTTTCCAATACTTCAGCATCATAAGTCTCCTATGCCTCTCCTAAATGCTGAGTCATGCTCCCTGGCCTTGATAGAAAGGCTCCATCTCTCTTTCACTTCTGCATCTCTATCCAAACATTTTGTCTACTCATCAGCATTAAATCTCACTTTGCTGGAAATATTTGCAGGGCTTTTTACTTTTTTTTTCCCCGCTGGGCACCAATGACTCATTTAATGCACTGAGAGGTTAGGTAACATGTTCCAAAATAAACAGCTTTAGGGTAACCTAAAGCCTAATTAAAACCGGACAAAACCCAGATAGTAAACCAAGCTAAGGCTCTGTAAGCTCATTGCAGAAAGACTCAGCGTTTCCTCCACCAATCTATAGGCACGGCTGAGCAGAAGGGTGGCACCTCACCGGGATTGTTTGGTGGTTGGGATTGCTAATAAATAGATGAGTGTACATCACTCGCACAGATGTCGTATAGAACACCGCTGTGCCCTGCAGCTGCAGCAGATGTTGGATCTTTGCATAAATAATAAACAAATGAAACTCCTCCAAGTCCAGAACAAATCATCTGGGGAGCCAACTCCATACTCTTGCTTCCAGACCCAGAGCCTGGCTGCACCTAAGAACCTGGATGGTCCCATCCATTGTATAGAATAAGCAGACAACAAATATTT